CTCGTCCACACATCTAAGCAATAAAAATAAAATAAAAAAGAATAACATTTCTGGAGTTCCTTAAGCGAACTGGTTGTTGGTTGTTTTGTGATAAAATTACTAAAAGAATACCTACCATTGATAAGTGAAAAAAAATGCCAACAAGACTATAACTTATCTGAAGAAAGGAAAAGAAAGGATTCTAATACCGATTTTAAATGGCATGTGAACAACTTTTTTTATTGCTTAGATGATTGGACGAGCTCACAGCCCACCTGATGTTAACCGGTTACTGGAGCCCATAGACATCTACAACGTAAATGCGCCACCCACCTTGAGATATAAGTTCTAAGGTCTCAGTATAGTTACAACGGCTGTCCCACTCTTCAAACTGAAACGCATTACTGCTTCACGGCAGAAATAGGTAGGGCGGTGGTACCTATCCGTGCGGACTGACAACAGGTCCTACCACCAGTAATTACGCAAATTATAATTTTTGCGGGTTTGATTACACGATGTTATTCCTTCTCTGTGGAACTCAATCGTGAACATTTGTTAAGTACGTATTTCATTAGAAAAATTGGTACCCGCCTGCGGGATTCGAACACGAATGCATCGGACGTCTAATCTTTTAGGTCACGACGACTTCAAACTATAAAATGTTTTGCAAAAACTGATACAAACTTCGCAAAACATAACTTTCAAGGTGCTGTAAGAATCGATGCCTCTGACGATGCGATGCCGTGAGAAGTCGTGAGATTATTTTTTGTTACGTAGGCTGCAAAAGTACAAGTTGGAAAATATCCGAATGGCGTGCGAAGAGCGCCCGCAGACACACGCGATCATATTTCCCTGGCAGGGCGGCGAACGAGAAAGCCTTGCTTATAATTTAGTGGCACGCTTCGGGATAGCTAAGTCTGTCGTAATAAAAATTCATGATGTGAGGTGTAACGTGACAAATTGCTTAGCACATACAGTCTGCATAGACGTACAAAGAAAATAGCATTTGCGGTTTTTATCTTATCCGAAATGCTTGTTAAATATTTTTATTTTGTATGTGTTTAAAGAAAATTAACCTTTAACTTAAAAGGTGACTTTCCTATTTGTTGTTTACTACAAATGGCAAATAGACGAAATTTAGATTAGCAGTTACACACTGAAACTTTAAGTTCGTCAAATGAAATATTAGATTGTTATAAATATACATAAGTGTTGGTCATGAATCTCCTGTTCAATAGCTGAATGATCGTTGCATACTTGTTATTTACAAAGAAATCCCGTATGCATCCGATTTGACAATATTTTCACAGCAAGACTTCTGTTCAACCCATAAGCACAGCCTACTAAGTTTCTAGTCGGATCTTCTAAGTAGGTCGCGATTCCGATTCGGTAGTAGATTATGCAAAGCACTGGTCTTGCTGGTGTTAGCAAATTCTCTTAGGTTGAGCCCGTGACCTTAACCATCTGATCGCGCGAAGCTCAAAAACCCTGTAGGCTACCAGCGAATATGTAGGAAAAAAGTCTGTGTGGCTTGCTAGTGAACAATATAATAACATTTTTGATATAAAATAGAAATAGTAGAGACCTAAACAATAAAGTACCTAGTGTACTCGTTCCGAACGCTACGACTTTGCAGCGATACAAATCCCGCATGTAGGTACCCAATTTTGTAGTGAAACAGCAAATTCACAAAAGTAACAAAATCAAATCCGCAAAAATCGTGACTGGCTTAATTACTGGTGGTGGGCCGTATGCTCACACGGGTAAGTACCATCATCTTTCCTGTTTCTGTCGCTAGGTACACAGTTTAGACTTAGACCTCACGGTGAATGCCAGCGCTCGACTCCAGCCAGTTTTTTTTTTTATTGCCCTTGTAGGCAAACGAGCATGCGGCCCTGTGTGAGTGGTTACCGTCGCCTATGGACTTCAGCAATGCCAGGGGCAGAGCCAAGCCGCTGCCTACCGCTTAGTACTGTCCACAAACCTCTTTTGAAGAAGGACATGTCATAGCGCTCGGGAAACGGCTGACATCATGGGGCCTGCTCATTCAGCCATCCATATAAAAAATACATCGGAAGGTTTTGTACCTAATTGAATACTCGTATAAGCATTTTGAGTGATTCTAAAAGTCATCGATTTGTCTTAATGTACTATCAAACGGTAACGAATTATTTATTCAAGGCAGCAGTCAAGTTCGTAAAGCACCTATTAATCACATTCATCTTTACTCAATTTCCTGAAAGAATCCCTTTCGTCGGAGCATCCGCGGCGCGTTTTTATATCACATTCATAATGTTTATTTTACGCGTTCTCTCATGCCATCAAGAATGAACTTTATCGCACAAGGAATAATGATGATTCCTGCGTGGACTCCAGTGTCGTTCCGAGTTGAGCGGTTCCATTCCTTTCGCCGCCCGTAATAATGTTTGGCGATTTATCAAAACGCAATTACGTAATAGATACTTGCTTGATGTTACTGACGATAAAAAACATAAATTTTTCTATCTAAAATGTCAGTCAAACTGCTAATTTTAATGGCAAAAAAACGGAGTAATCTTCTAATTTGTGTATCAAATAATTCAAATAATTTCGTAAGTTACAGCGAAGCGTGGCCGCGTTCCATTAGTATACTCGATGTCAAATCACTTGACACTCACATGGCTCAGTGACATCATCCTTGTTTGCTACGTGCGTGGTCGTAGGTTCGAGACTGTGCCCTACCATTGTAACAAAAGTTTTCCTTAAAGTCCGATACGTTAGATACAACCGTTGTGTTTTGTATTGGGTATGACAGTATATTCAAAAAAATCAAATCACAGTTAATAACAACTATGATTTATACGCGATAAGCAATCACAAAACAATATTTGTTAAAATATTATTATAAAGATATAATAATTTAGTGACAAAATAAACAGAGGTAATCGGTCTTCGACAGCCGGGAAATAAATAAATTGAGATCTGATTTTTGCAAAAAAAAAAAAACATTTAAACAAATTTAATTTATATTAAAATACATATTACAACAGAAAGATAAAAAAATTGACCAGTTCTTAAAAAATGGAATCATAGGGTTTGTAATAAAATCCCCACAATGGATTGCCTGAGCACTATGACTTCTTCAAATGCTATTTAAAAATTAGACAGTAGCTGAGATTTTTTTGGTGCCCTTGTAGGCAGACGATAATACGGCCCACCTGATGATGAGTGGTTATTGTCGCCCATGGACTTCAGTAACGCCACGGGCAGAACCATGATATGGCATTCACGATGTTACTTGATTACTGGTAGTTCGTTTGTCTTTAAAAACAATAAACTATGGACCTCAGGATTAATGTCTAATACCATTATGCGTAATCTAATGCCGTAAATCAATGATATAGAAGTTGGAACTCTTGGAAAATTATTAACCTTAAGATGTTATTATGCAGGTAACGATTTTTTAAATGAAAAATCATTATGTTAATTTTAAATTCGCTTCTTTTTATTCTTTGTTTTCGTTTTATGACTAAATAACTGATTCTTATTCAATTAATTTATTTTTTTGTTTGATATTTTAATTAATTAACATATTTACTGACTGCATTTAATGTAAATATTTTTTTTATATTATAATATTTGCACGCCGGCCTGGTAGAAACACGCTGTTCTATAAAATAGCTATCAACAACTTTGTAAACCGTGTTTTAGCTAATAAAGTTTGATTTAACGGCCGTCTGGTGTAGTGGTAAGTGACATGGTCACTACACAAGGGGGTCGTGGGTTCGAATCCCGCCAAGGGAAGATATTTGTATGATAAACATAAAAATGTCTTTTCCAGGGTTATGGATGTATATTAAATATATGTCTGTGTATAATAAAAATCCTACATTTATTTCCGTTATCTGGTACCTGTAACACAAGTTCTTTACGAACTTATCACGGGACCAGTTAACGTGGCGTGATTGTTAGTAAATATTTATTTATTTATTTGATTTGATTTGGATTCTCCACGAGAGCGTTGGTTCGTAAAGAACAAGAACTTCTCTGATTCTCGTGGGTCGAGTCAAGTCTTCGTATTATCAAACCATCTAAATATCTGTCTGTTGAACGTAGCCTTCTCATTCCCACAACCAAAGACGATCACACACAAACGTTGCCTTTGTAACAAAAAAGCACTTCAACAGAATTAAAAATAAACAGAAAAGCGTATCTTCAAACAGGCCGTTACAAGACCCTCCCGATTATTATTCAAATATTATTCTTGGACATCCACTATCCGTATCACTTGTATCAACAGTCCTGAACACGAATTTTAAAAAGACCAACATAATTTACACCAACGCGTTTTTTGTACATGACAATGCTGAATGAAGACGCAACGGATAAAGTCATTTGAATCTATTGTAGTGCTCGAATCTCGGACGATGAGAAAACAATATGTTCCGGGTTGGAAAGAAATGCCGAGGAAAAATGGGCCTTAAAACTTCTTGTTAAGGACGTATGTGCTGTTAATAAATTGCTGTTCGTGTGATACAAAGAGGTAGCGATAAAACATAGTCTTATAACAATAGATTGTAACAATAGGTATTATCACCCAAACGTGTGCGACCCTCCTTAGGATACGGTACGTCTTATTTAACAGTTTTGATATTAGTTTCGAAGATACGCGTATGGCTAATCTGGTTGGTGATACGTGGTTACCATGGCTCATCAACATCGGCAATGCCAACAACCTACACTGTTTTTAACAGAACAGATAAATTTCATAATTTTACGTGAACTTAATAAATAACATACAATTTTGTTACTTATATCCAGCTTATATGTGTTTCTTTTCTAACATCCTCTGATAAATTCAAATTTCACGATGAGACAAATTTTTCAAATAAAATTTATTTATGAGCGTTGAGTTTCTTTCTTGTAATCATTAATATTTTTATCCAAACGTAATTCCATTTTGTTGTTGCATTAAATTTTGAAAACTTTTATTAAAATTAGAAAATGACTTTAAAATGCTTTATCGTCTAAAAAAAACTTACGTGAAAATTCCAATAAGAAGTCAAAAACCATCAACAAGTCCATTCACGTTAATTCGTTCAAGCACTGCACTTCAAATCACTGAATCTACTTGAAAACAGCATCGTTTGCAAGTTACGCTCTTCGTGGGCGGAATATTCAGCCGCCCAAAGCACGTTTGTCCGCACCGACCGCTGAACTAGTACTGAGGGGAGGGCCAAAGCCTCCAGGAGCCTTCCCAATAACAGACGCGCGCATCTTGTACCTTAAACATCGTATATATATGCTTACCTAAAGTTCTAGTCTTCATATGTCGGTGCAATATCGGAAGCAGGTAGAAATGTTTCACAGGGTCTTTAGTTAAAGGGCGCATTTATGAGTGCTGGAAATCTGGGTGGGTATCATAAAATTTGGGGTCGAATATCTTGTTTTATAAAAGAAAATGGCATTGTGTCAAGGGATAAAACAAGTTTCATAAGATTGTTTAAAGTTTCATAAGATTGTTTATTACAAGTGGCCAGTGAAAGTAATTCAGTCTTATTTTAAAATTCACAAAAATGCGAAATTGAAACAACGCTATCATTAGAACGAACCGAACTCTTTAATTTGCTAAAATCCAAAAGACTAATTAATTATTTTCATCCCATTCACTTTAACATCCTACTTTTGTCTTACGGACCAGAAAATCACTGAAGCGTAGATTTCATTATCTCTGTAAGACAAATGCACTCGCCGTGTCACACGTCCTCAAGTGATATATACATTCGTGAGAAAAGGAAAAATTACACACAATAAAAACTTGAGTTGACGGGAAATTAACGATGTATGAGCTGACAGCACTCTTGTCGTGTGTTTAACATCGGTTACAGAGACCAAATTTTCATTACATTAGTACATTGTAAGAATTTTAATCATGTTTAATTTTGAGAACGAATCACTGTTGATGCAGAACATAAAGAGGTAAAGTGCTTCGCTGTATGCAGTGTTTTAACTAAATCTCGATTGTTTAATGGGAAATAGTTTTTTTTTTAAAGTAGTAAGAAAAATCATTTCCCAATCTAAACCGGTCATCCATCATATTAGATAATTGTCTCAACATAATCATAATAAATAAATAAACCATGGTAGTCCTGATTTTGTATCTAACGAGGCTAACGGGTTTGTATTGTGGTGTTTTCGTTTCCCTTACAGTACACAAGTTTAAATATTAAAAAAAAACATTGAAAAAAGCCTTACAGTATATGAACAAGATATTATAATGGAAAGGCTTAATGAAAAATTTTCCAGGAGATATCCACGTAAATCAGACCTATAGATACAATGCTAATTTGGTGGCGTTGCGACCTTACCATTCTGAATAAAAAGCTCCAAACTATAATTAAATAATGTTACTCTGTTAGCTTTCGTATTCGTATTCTCAAGCCTTATCTGCCGTTTTAATGGGGAGAGGTAGCTTATATCTGTACCTTTTTCGCGTTGGAGCATTAACCGTGTTTTCTTTTTTCGTAATGAAATGTTTTTCAGTGTTTAATTCTCTTTCTTTTTTTCCTTTAATGTTCTGTTTAAACCATTAGCATAGAATGTTTTTGTTGATACCCCAAGCGGATTGTGGATTTAACGGCGATGTAATTGAAGTTTTGTGTTAGCATTGTGTGTGTATTTAAAATTAAAAATGGTTGTTTTTTGGTATTAAATTCATGACTTAAGTACGAATGTAAAATTGTTTTATTGTTATACATAGCTTTGTTTATTTATTCTATTGTTAATAGTTTTTATGAATTCTGCCTCATGTCTTGAGATATGTATGTGATCAATGCATTATTACAGCTTTTGCTGTATCTTTATATCTTTATACCACCAACACTACATGACGGACACCGTACGAGTATTTAGTTACAACAATGTATTGATTTTTAACAAAAGTTGCTATCTGACCTATGTTCAAATGACCCCTAAATACATGATGCCACGAGGCGTGCTATTTATAATGGCGGTAAAATAAATACAACCTTCTTAAACATTTAATCTTCGAAGTAGTCATGTGTTCCGATTTTAAGGTATCGCAGCCATTATACAATACCTGACTTCAACCAATGGACAGTGACCGCAGTTGTGGTCACCGACTTGACACTTTCATTAACAATGGCGCTTGCCTTAAAGACACGGCTGTACTTCTCCTGGTTAGATTGTAACCGTTTAGTAATAGCGGTCGGCAAACATCAAATAGCGTTTATATACCTTGTTTTAATATGGAAATATGATTTACATGTGAACTAAATCTGGGCTTCATTTTCGAGAAAACACAAGTCTTGAACATTTGGTATTATAGAACAACTTTGAGTAGTCTCATTATTATCCTAATTAAAGATACACAAAGGTGTTTGTATAGGAGCGTTTTGGGGAAGCTTATACTCCGAGAGCAGCTGGTTCCTGCTGCTGTGGGACTTTTTACCGCCACCGGAGCAGAGATAATTCACATTACCCTAGAATTACTGTGTTCATCCACAGTACGTATTTTGGAATGAATCTCGCTCCTCGTTAATGAGTGCTATGACAGGTCTTTCTTTAAATGAGGCTTATGAAGATTATTTTTTTTATTGCTTAGATGGGTGGACGAGCTCACAGCCCAACTGGTGTTTTTTTTTTATTGCTTAGATTGGTGAACGAGCTCACAGCCCACCTGGTGTTAAGTGGTTACTGGAGCCCATAGACATCCACAACGTAAATGCGCCACCCACCTTGAGATATAAGTTCTAAGTTCTCAGTATAGTTACAACGGCTGCCCTACCCTTCAAACCGAAACGCATTAATGCTTTACGGCAGAAATGGGCAGGGTGGTGGTACCTACCCGCGCGTACTCACAAGAGGTCCTACCACCAGTAATTACGCAAATTATAATTTTGCGGGTTTCATTTTTATTACACGATGTTATTCCTTCACAGTGAAAGTCAATCGTGAACAATTGTTAAGTACATATTTCATTAGAAAAATTGGTACCCGCCTGACATTCAAACACCGGTGCATCATTCAACACGAATGTAGTACCGGACGTCTTATCCGTTAGGCCACGACGACTTCAAGTTAAGTGGTTACTGGAGCCCATAGACATCTACAGCATAAATGCGCCACCCACCTTGAGATATAAGTTCTAAGGTCTCAGTATAGTTACAACGGCTGCCCCACCCTTCAAACCGAAACGCAATGGTAGGCAGCGGCTTGACTATACTTGCTGACGTCCATGAGTGACGGTAATCATTCACCATCACCTAGGTCGTGTGGTCGTCTGCCTTCAAGAGTAGTAGTCTTTCCGGAGTAGAGTTCATCCATACTACCTGGAGCCACTGCGGTCATCCACAGTGCGTTTCCAGAGGTCTTTTTTGCCACGTACCATCCGGCTATGGAAGGAGCTCCCCTCCACGGTGTTTCCCGAGCGCTATGACATGTCCTTCTTCAAACGAGGCTTGTGGAGAGTATTAAACGGTAGGCAGCGGCTTGGCTCTGCCCCTGGCATTGCTGAAGTCCATGGACGACGGTAACCACTCACCATCAGGTGGACCGTATGCTCGTCTGCCTACAAAGGCAATAAAAAAAAAGAAGAACAAAAGGCAAGGCTTCCCTTTGCAAACTATTTTGAAAACGTAATTCCTGCAAAAGTAAAACTCAAACATTCACTCGGAAATGCCTGAAAGGCTTCCACAAAATGAACACAGTGTACTCAAAATGTCCCTCTTTAATTAATCACTCTCCCCCAAAGGTCTCGGTGCCACAAAAAAATCGTACAAAAAGTTGACACTCAATGTAGCAGTATTCATCCGTTTATTTTGAATTGTTACAAAAAAAAATCCTTCTACCCAACAATATAGGGTGGAAAAGTACGTTTTGTCATCTTTAACTTTTCCATTTAATCTAGAAAGACTGCTTGATAGAAAGGTAAAGACAGAAAAAAATCAGGACTATTACGGCTCATAACACAGTACACCTTTGTTATATTAAAATATCTCACGGACCTGGTTTTAAGTTGTTACTGTAAACCATAGGCCAGGGCCCTGAAACTGCGATACTTTAAGACAAATATTTTTTGTATGGAAACCATCGACACCTTGTAGCGGGTACCCCTAAACTTATATGTTATTAAAGTTAAGGCATTTAATTATTGTATAACTAAACACAGAAAATAAAAATTCATACAAATCTTTATTTGTTATTAAATTTTATCAATTTGTAGTTTCTGAAAATTTACAAAATCCTTAATTAAAAATAAAGTATTGAGCAATGAGAAACTAATCGAAGCGAAGCCATCTAGTGGCCGACGCCCGTAAACATTTTTTTGGAGTGCTTGAGTTGCTTATCTATAACTAATTTATGTGTATTATCTATGCCATAGGCATCATAGTGTAAATGTCGCCACCCACCCCGCCTCTATCTAGGTCGGCTAAAGAACATCCTACCGATATGATATGATCGTTATAATAATTTGCTCGTATACGCTATAAGTCTATAATAATGGCCAAATAATAATTTTATGTCAAACGTAACTGAAGAGTAAGCAGCAGAATAAAAAATAGCTAATTGCATTAAAACCTTCACGCTGCATTTTTTTTTATTATTGCTCAGATGGTTGGACGAGCTCACAGCCCACCTGGTATTAAGTGGTTACTGGAGCCCATAAACATCTACAACTTAAATGCGCCACCCACCTTGAGATATAAGTTCTAAGGTCTCAAGTATAGTTACAATGGCTGCCCTACCCTTCAAACCGAAACGCATAACTGCTTCACGGCAGAAATAGGCGGGGTGGTGGTACCCACCCGTGCGGACTCACAATAGGTCCTACCACCAGTAATTACGCAAATTATATTGTTATTCCTTCACCGTGGAAGTAAATCGTGAACATATTATGTTAAGTACGTATTTCATTAGAAAAATTGGTACCCACTTGCGGGATTCTAACACCGTTACATCGCTCGATACGAATGCACCGGACGTCTTATCCTTTGCCTGACGGACGAGCGGTCGCCACCGCTCATGAATATCAAGAATACCAGGTCAAGCTGCTACCTACTAACCACTGATGACTTTTCAAACGTCTTGTTTGAAGAAGAACATGTCTTCAGGCATAAAAAGTACTGAATGAGCCCTATTCTTAACTCACTTATTAGCAATATGCAGAACTCGAAA